GATGGTTGTCGGTTAGAGAAACTCCCACAGCAGTTATTGTATTTTCATACACAGAAATTATTGTATTTTATATACATCAGTTCAATTGTATTTCTATATACATCTCAGGCTTATTGTATCCTTGTATACACTCAGAGTTTATAGCATGTTTTAAACAGTCTTTCTTTATATCGCACTTGTTTTAAATTGCCTTATATTGAAAGAAGTCAGTCAGGTTGAGTTCAGTTATTCAAGAGTCGAGTATCCTTGAGTTAAGTATTTTTGAGTTAAGTATATATCTTGAGTTAAATATATATCCTTGAGTTGAGTATCTATCTTGAGTTGAGTATCTATCTTTGAGTTGAGTATCTATCTTTGAGTTGAGTATCTGTCTCTGAGTCCAGTATCTATCTTCTGATTTGAGTAAGTTTGAGTAGTTTTGGGTATTCCTTGAGTTGAGAAAGTTTGAAAAGAGGTAAGTTATTCAATTTATTCCAGTTTTTCTTCTAGCCTATGTTGTTTAGCTTTCTAGCTTACATACTCGTACATTCCACGTACTGAGCCATTTGGCCTGCATCTTTTTATGATGCAGACACAGGTATTCAGGATCATCAACAGGAGATTCGTTGATACATCCGGGAGTTCCAGTTAGCTATGACAAGCCTCTTTGCTTCCGGAGGATTTCATTTACCTTTCAGTTGTATCAGTTGTTAGGAGGTCGAGGGTCTTGTCCCGGCTTCCATCTTTATCAGTTAGAGGCTTCATAGATAGACAATAGAGTTTCAGAAGTCTCTTCATTTATTTTGTTAAATGTTTTGAAGACTAAAGTTGCCTTTTATGGCGAGTTGTATATATATTCTATTATACAGAGTTTTCTTTTGAGTTAAAGATTTATAAAGTTGAGTTTATAAACTCTTATTCAGTTTTAAGCTCTTGTATGCTTAAGTTAGTATTCCGCTTGGAGTCAGCCAGGATGAGGGTTCGCTTGGGGACCAGAAATGGTCTTCGAGTGCCGGCCACGTCCAGGGTGTAGGCTCGGGGCGTGACACGGAGTGACCGTTGGCTCTAGACATTTAGTCTTTAGCCAACAGGATGATTCGGCATGAAATGTCAGATTCTATGAAGGTTCTAGCCTATGTTGGGGTTCAATCATCTCTTTTGGAACAAATTCGTGGTCGTCAGTTTGAGCATGATGCCTTGGTGGCCCTTTGAGGGATTAACTAGTGTTTACTGTCTACACATGAATTTCATGAGACCAATTCTTGTCAAATATTGATAGACATCAAATATAATCTACAATTGAATGAATTGTGTTGGTAAATTTCACGTATTTGTGTATGTGTATATATGATCATATAATATATTATTTCTATACAAGCTAAATTTGAAAAAAGTGAATGAAGTTAAAAATAAAATAAAAATGAGAGACAAGGAGAGAGTTGATCGGATGGTAAGCACTCCATTTCCAACTTTAAGGTTATGAGTTCAATTCCCCAAGGAAGCATAATGTGGGAGCTCCTAGAGAGGGGTGTTAAAAATTGGGATAGGGTGAATGGAAAAGAAATTATTTATATATTTGAAAAGTGGAAAAAGTATTGTAATTGCAATTAAATAATTGGACAAAAAACAAAATAGTTGTTCACTATTTTTCCAATATTTTATGTTTTTGTTGGGTGGTTTTCGTGGCAATTTTGAGACATTTTTGTGGCGACAGTAGTCGCCACAAAAACTAGATCTTTGGTGATGACTTGTGTTGTTGCCACGGAAAAGTATCAACCACTTAGGGTGTGTTTGGTATGAAGGAAAATGTTTTCCATGGAAAATATTTTCCTAGAAAATGTTTTCTTGGAAAACAAGTTGGATTTTGACTTATTTTTCCATGTTTGGTTGGTGAGTAGAAAATATTTTTCGGAAAAGATTTTTTGTGTTTGATTTATGAATGAAAAATGTTTTTGAAAAATTTCTTTTATTTTTACTAGAGTAGAAAATAATTTTTGAAATTGAAAATATTTTTTAAAAACAAACTTAATTTTTTTTTGGGGTGGGGGCTGGTAGGGGGGGGGGGTCGAGGGTAGGGGTGAAAAATTGAAATTTTGAAGTTAAAAATATTTTTTTTTAAAAAAAACTTAAAATTTTTTTTGGGGGATGGGGGGATGGGGGGCTGGTAGGGCGTGGGTGGGGGGGTCGAGGGTAGGGGTGAAAAATTGAAATTTTAAAGTTAAAAATATTTTTTAAAAACAAACTTAAATTTTTTTTTGTGGGGTGGGGGGGCTGGTAGGGGTTGGGTGGGTGGGGGGTCGAGGGTAGGGGTGAAAAAATGAAATTTTGAAGTCGAAAATATTTTTTAAAAACAAACTTAAACTTTTTTTTTTGGGAGGGGGGGGGGGGGGGGGGGGGCTGGTAGGGGGTGGGTGGGTGGGGGGGTCGAGGGTAGGGGTGAAAAAATGAAATTTTGAAGTCGAAAATATTTTTTAAAAACAAACTTAAACTTTTTTTTTTGGGAGGGGGGGGGGGGCTGGTAGGGAGTGGGGGGGTCGAGGGTAGGGGTGAAAAAATGAAATTTTGAAGTCGAAAATATTTTTTAAAAACAAACTTAAAATTTTTTTTTGGGAGGTGGGGGGGGTGGCTGGTAGGGGGTGAGGTGGGGTCGAGGGTAGGGGTGAAAAAATGAAATTTTAAAGTCGAAAATATTTTTTAAAAACAAACTTAAATTTTTTTTTGGGGAGTGGGGGGGCTGGTAGGGGGTGGGTGGGGAATGGGTAGGGGGGTCGAGAGTAAGGGTGAAAAATGAAATAATATTTTTTAAAAATAAACTTAAATTTTTTTCTTTTTGAAGGGGGTGCGGGCTGATAGGGGCTGGGGGGCGGGGGCGAGGGTAGGGGGAGGGGGGTAAAAAATAAAAAATTGAAATTAAAAATATCTTTTAAAAACAATTTTTAATATATTTTTGGGAGGGGTGGTGGTAGGGGGTGGGAGTACGGGTGGGGTAAAAATATTGAATTTAAAAACAAACTTTAAAAAAAATAAAATTGGAGGGGGGGTGGTTGGGGTTGGTTTGAGTGTAGGAACAAAATAAATTGATTTTTTCAACAATTTTTTTTTAATTGGAAGTTGGAAGAGAGTTTAGAAAATGTTTTCCTTAAGTTTTGAAGGGAAGTCATTTTCCTTAAATTTGAGGAAAATGAGTTGATTTGGAAAACATTTTTCAAAACATTTAACCCAACCAAACATGAGAAAATTGGAAAACATTTTCCGGAAAATATTTTCCTTCATACCAAACACACCCTTAGTATAGCCAATGAACCATGGGTCGCCATGACAGGTTATTAGTGGCAATATTTTGACTTTTTATGGCGAGTTGTGTTCCCACAAAAAGGTTCTTTTTTTGTACCGAATGTTGCTTCATAGTTGTTTGAAAGTTTTGTGAATCCACGGAAAAAATCTAAAAGCAAACCGCTCTGCTCCATTGTCATTCTTATTTACCAGCATTAGTTAATTATCATTGGATTCAATCCTACTGTAGGCTTTAGTGGCATTTACAAAGAGTTCTAAAATGTAATTGTCACGAATAATATAGAGAAAACATCCAAATACCCCATCAACCTATTACCCAATTCTCAACTACACACCAATACTTTATCGAGGTCCTATTACCCCTTGAAGTATTTTAAACAGAGATATTGACACCCTTAAGTGTTGATGTGGCACAACAAGTGCGTTCACTTTCCTAAAGGCAAGTGTAAGACAAATAAATCAGTCAAAATTAAATGATTAAGCAAGTGTCATTGTTTAATTGAATTCAATATAATTAATAAATAAATTTAATTAATTACAATTACATACTCTCTCTTTCTCTCTCTCTAACTATTTCCCTCCTTCAACATTTACACCTCTGCAATTAAATTTTGTCATGGCTGCCATGGCAAGCACCTATACAATTTTTATTTTTTTTCATTTTTTCACTTTTAATCCACAATGAACTATTTCATGACCAACCCTTTCAAATCTTTCCTAAAAATAGACAATATAACCAAAAGAAAGTTAATGATAATCCTTTAATTTCTTCACGTCAATGGAAAATACTTTCAATTCGACATTGAAAAATGATATTATAGCTTCTGCTAGAGAAATCTTTTCGATTATTGTAGCAACCCGAGTTTCTTGATTGGAACTGAAAGTGGGTTTTAGAATTTGAAATTTATGAGTTTCTTGATTGAAATTGAAAGTGGGTATTAGAATTTGAAATTTGGCAAGAAAAATTTCATCTTCAAATCTATCAAAAAAAAGCAATGGATGCAGAACTAGACCATAATGGCAGTAAAATACCATAGTAAAAGATTCAACATTCATGTCAAATTTATTGAGTTCAACAATAACAACAAGATTTTGTGTAAATAAATAATCGAAAAGATAGAAGAAGGACGGAGGAGGATGGGTGTGATGGAGATGGAGGTGGATTGGAGAAGATGAGACATTTGGGAACAATGGAGAAAAAAGGGATGATTTAGGAAGATGAATGGAATGGTGGAGAAAAAATATAAAACAACTGATGTATTTTGGTGATGAGTTTTTTTTAATTTTTTTAGTCTGAAAAAAATAGGTGTGTATTACACTTAGCAACAAAGATTTGGGGGTGACATTTTAATTGTGTCAATAACTGTGTTTAAAATACTCTAGGGGGGTAATAGGACCCCCGTAAAGTATAAGTGTGTAGTTGAGAATTGGGTAATAGATTGAGGGGGTATTTGACTGTTTTCTCAATAATATAAGTACCTCTAAAAACATATATTTAGTAGCAATCAAGTTATTGTCATAAACTAATAGCCACTGAAGATCATTATTAGTGCAGTGTACATGGATAAGTACGTGATACAAATATAAGATAATTAAAATTGCATGTTATCATCATATGTAATTATTTTGGAATTTCATCATGTCATTTTATATAACATGACTAGAATAAACACCCAAGTATATCACACACGTGCATGAAGCTTCAAGAAAATACATTTATGTTGAGTTCAACTGATGTATTTCTCTGTAGATTGGCACCATTCTTCTAATGTAGGAGTCACCACTCCAATATTTTTCATGTCAAATATGTTGGCTGATGTACAAAGAGAATTTTGAGCATGTTAGTAGCTTGCAATGCTATGTGAATTATCCATAAATCTTGTTCTTTTGTTTTTCCTAAACGCCTTATATTTTTGATAAATTTTGTGATAATTTAAATAACGTCATATAAGTTGAGACGGAGGGGGAATCAATTAAAAAATGAAGCATCATACCAGTGTGTACATCAGGTGTTGCTGCAGCTGTTCCATCAGTGATAACTGAGACATGCTTATAGTCCAATGATACTGCATCAAACACAGTCTGTCGTATGCAATTTGGAGTTTGGACACCTACAAAAAGAAAAAATAATAATAATAAATAATTTATTCATATATTATTTATAGGAGTTTCAAAATTACAAACCAAACGCTATATTAAAATTATAAATGAATTAATTTAATTACCTTCTAATCAATTATCAAACATAGTACTCCTATTACTTATACAAAAACTTATACCTTCATATCTCACCTCCAAAACAATTCGCCTTACCATGTCCAGAAAAGTTTACTCACTTTGTATATCTTAGTATGTTGTATCTAGTAATTTTTCAGTTGAGTTCATGTTTAGTGTACTAACAATGTAAAAGACTTTTATATAATCAGGTAACAATGTAAAAGATCTTTATATAATCAAGTTACTCAAAAGGTACTCGTAAATAATAATTTTATTTAATTACATAAATGTTATATACCCCCTTTGTTTTAGTTTTAATTTTATGACTTGATACGAAGATTCAGAAAAAATTGTGTTGTTAATTGCTCTTTGTTTAGGTACACCCTTATTAAGAAAACTACTCATTTCTAGAAAGTAAGATGTATTTTTACTCATCTACCCTTAATAAACATCTTGAAAAAAAATTATAATTCCAGTATTTAATTACCAGTGATGACCAAATCTGTTATGCCATTAGTGTGAAGATATGAATGAAGGTGTGTGTTGAGAAAAGCACTAAAACGTGTTTTGACCAATTTGTAATCATTTTCTTCAATAATTAGTCCATCAACAAGTTCAGCCCCAACACTTCCCTTTGATGCCACTTTTGTTTTGGCAGCAGTATAAAAGTGACGACGAAATAATTCAACATCTCTCCCTAAAGGATCAATCTCACGTACAACCTACACAAAATAATGTCATAATATTGTTAATTGTTGGTCACAATTATGTTGTTAGAGGAAATTATCTTACTTTACCTTAGGCATAATGCATAAACATGACATTTAACTTGACTTCAACTGACTTAACTTTGAATATGTACAAGTAGGCACTTAGAGCCTGTTTGACATTGCTGTTGGAAGCCCAGAAGCATTTGTTTTGGAAAAAAAAACATTTTTTTCCTGAAAAAGTAAGTGTTTGACAAACCTGTAACAGTGCTTTTAAATAAGACAATAAACAAATTTTCGGTTGCTGGGAAGAAGTTATAAAGTTCTGCTTCTTAAAAAAAGCAGAAGTATTTTTATTTTGATCAAGACTAAAATGTCCCTTCCATATATATATATATATATATTTATTTAATTACTTAATTAACATATCTCATATGTTTGGTTAAGTTTCATTTAATAATTTTATTTTTTATTTTTATATAATAAATTTTATATTTTATTTTCCATTTGCGTATTATTATTTTATTTATTATTTTACAAAATTAGAAAACAAGAAAAAGGTAACAATAATATTTTTGTAAGATTAGGAAAAAAAAAAAAGAAAAAACATAACAATTAAAAATTTCTACCCTTCAAAAAAATGTATAATATTAATTGAAAATTTGAATATGAACATTTTATTTTAATAAAAATAAAAAATTTATTTCATTTTTTGTAATAGATGTTTAAACTAGTTTCTCTTTATAAAATAATCTTAATATTAAAAGTACATTAATACTTACCCTTAATCATAATTTGACTCCCAAAAGTACTTTTTTTTTAAAAATTAGTCAAACACAAATTGTTTTTTTTCAAAAGAACTTTTCTAAAAAGTTATTTTAAAAAAGTGCTTTGGAAAATAAGCAGTTTTTAGTAGCAATGTCAAACAGACTCTTAAACTTGTATAAAATTGAACAAGTAGACATATGTGTCCTATGTAGCATAATACACGTAGGATGTCACATAGAATACATAATTGTCATGTAGGGTGCCATGTAGGACGAATGTGCCTCTCGATAATAAGAAAATACACAACAAATCCACTAAAATTCCATCAAAGAATATGAAAATTTAATATAACTGACTTAAACTAGTTTGGAATTGAGGTGTAGATTGACAGAAAGTTATGAAAACAAGAAGGTTTTGCGATAATAAATGAAAAGGTCGAAAAAGATCGATACCCAAACTATATGAATGCCACATTTTCTTGCAACTTGAACAGCCTTGATAACGTTGGGGACGATAGCTTCACCTCCTTTTACTTTCACTGGCCCACTTATAAAGTCTTTCTGGAAACATATAAGCAAAGGCGGAGCCAGGGTTAGGAGAATTTTTTGTTGATAGCGGGGTTTAAATCCACAATTACACTAGTGTGAAAAACATTTTCACCGTCCTTCCTTACCACTGAGTTATCAATCAATTTTGTTAGGAGTTTAAAAGTTAATACACATATATATTGATTAAATTGTCTAATAAAAATACAGGGTCTGGATTCATCCGAATCCACAAGCCTCCACCTATCTCCGCCACGGTATATAAGTATATTTACAAGTTATCTAGCTAAGGTGTGTTTATTTAGTTTATAACAAGAGAAAAACATCA